TGGGCTACCAGCATTTTCTTTTTCAAATCTCCAGTACTTTTCGCAAAATCCTGGCAGTTCCCAACAACGCAGTCTTTTGAATTACTCCGAAGTTGCAGTGAATCCCAAGCTTTTCAACCCATTTTTCAAATCCCTTGGTCACAGATCCCAGAGCTCCAGTAGCAACAGGGACAACTTCTACTTTCTTCAGTTTCCATAGTCTTTTTATTTCTCTTTTCAGATCTTGATACTTTTCTACTTTTTTTCTTCTCCTTCTCTGCCACATTCGCACCCGCCGGTACTATTATGTCATTGATAATTGCCGTATGTTCCTTCTTTTTTACCAAGACTAAATCTGGCCTTCTTGCCCCTATCACATTATCACACTGGATATTTGCATCCCATAACAACTTTGCATCATCACTCTCCACAACTCCTTCAGGGGCATCTTCGTACCATTTCTCACTGCATTCCAGTCCTCTTTTCTTGCATATATCCCAATGGGTCTTTCTCGTTACATTATCATGACGCCTCTTGTACTCATTTTGAGCTAACTTCCCACATGCACTTACAATGTGTTGAATACTTTCACCTGCTCGGCCACACAATCGACACAGGGGGCTTTCAGTCGTTTTATCAATGTGATACTTCATATAATTTGTCCTGATCGATTGTTCTTGTGCGGCACAAACCAAGGCTTCTGTACCAGCCTTCAAATCGCATTTTGACAACCATCCCCAAGTCTTCTCCTTGTCTACATCATCTGTTAAGTCTCTGACGAACTGTCCATACATTCTCTTTCCAGTCCACCTATCTTTCGCTTCGTTTTCATTTCTTGTCAAGATGTCTAACCTCCTCCAGTTCACTTGCATTTCATTCCTCGAATTTTGCTACACCCTTTAACGGTTTCTCTTCAGATTTGGACGCGTACACTTTCAAACTATTCTCCTCTTCTTTGACACGTCGTTTTATACTTATTATTATTATTATTATTATTATTATCATTATCATTATCATTATTATAAATTATTTTTCATCATCATTTCTTTCATTATTATTATCATTATCATTATCATTATTAGTATTATTACTATTATTATTATTATTAAATGACAACCATATCCGTCTTTGGAGACAATAACCGGAAGAAATTAATAAATTTTATTCAGCTAGTATCATGTGAATCCCCTCCCCCCTTCCACACACAAATAAAAAAAATATCTAATCCTCCCTTTTTCGCCCCTCCCCAGCATCAGTGGGCGTGTTCTGAGCAAGGGAGTAGGCGTGGCAGTCCTGAACGTCGAAAGCGCCGCCCACGCTGACACGGGGATCTATCACTGTCACGCCCAGAGCGAGGTGGGCGAACTATCACCCGCAGCTGCCAAGTTGATAGTGAGGCGTGAGTGTATCTGTCTCTTTAGGCTTTTAAGATCATGATAGATTGCTTGTAATGTTGATTGGTGATGGTAGTAGTATTGATCATGAGTTTGATAATAATAATAATAATAATAATAATAATAATGATAATTGTTATTATTATTATCATTATTATTATTACTATTATTATTATCATCATCATCATTATTACTATCATCATCATCGTCATCATCATCATCATCATCATCATCATCATCATCAGTATCATTATTACTATTATTGTCATAGTTGTAATAATAATAGTTATTAATATTAATTATATTATTATTGTTGTTTTGTTATCATTATGACTACTACTACTATTATTATTATTATTATCATTATTATTATTTTTGTCAACATTATTGTTATTACTATTATTGTTGTATCCACTTATTATTATTATTATTATTATTATTATTATTATTATTATTATTATCATTATCATTATTATTATTATTATTACTATCACCATTATCATCACTAACATCATTATCATCACCATGATAAACAAAACCAACATCCCCATTAAATCTCACTTCACCTAAACCCCCCAAAAGAGAGAAACAAAGACCCCCCCCAACCAACGCCCCCATGGGATAGCACTGTCTTAGACGTTCGTTTCCTCCTAGAGACTGCTTCGATGATGACTGCGGCAGGAGGGTCGTCTCCCCGTGCGGGCGTGGGCGGGCGTGGGCGTCTGGTGTGCCGAGTGCGGGCGTGGCCTCCTCCGACCTTCATCTGGAGCACGCAGACGGGCGCCCTCATCTCCAACACGTCGAAATATACTGTCCTTCCGCCGCGGGTGGGTGTTGGCCGGGGAAGGGAGGGGAGAGGGGCGCTGTGGGTGTTTTGTTTTGTTTTTTTGTGGGGTTATTTGTTTTGTTTTTTTCTTGTTGGGTTGTTTTTGTTGTTGTTGTTTGTGGTTGCTGATATTATTATTATTATTGTTGTTGTTGTTATAATAATAATAATGATCATTATTTTTGCCATTATTATTATTATTGTTATTGTTATAGTCATTATTACTATTATTATTGTTATTATTATCATTATTGTTACCATTGTTATTGTTATTATTATTATTATTGTGATTATTATCATC